AATTGTTCAGATATAATTATTCATGGTATTTCTTTCTAAACCTTTGTATTTCTCTATGACCAATGTGATGTCTCCATTTTCTTTCTTTCTGGTTTCCATTTCATTTTTTCGTTTTTGTTTTTGTTTGTTTTTTGAGATAAGGTTTTTCTGTGTTGCCCAGGCTGAAGTGCAGTGGTGCAATCATAGCTCAACATAACCTTGAACTCTTGGACGAGTGATCCACCTCAGCCACCCAATTAGCTAAGACTACAGGCGTGCACCACCATACCCAGTTAATTAAAAAAAAATTTTTTTTTCTTTTAGAAAAAAGTCTCACTGTGTTACCCAGGCTGGTCTCAATCTCCTGGCCTCAAGTGATCCTTCTGCCTCTGCTTTCTGAAGTGCTGGGATTACAGGTGTGAGCTATTGCACTCAGCCTGCACTTTCTTTCTTGGTGAATAATTTGAGCCTTATTTTTTTCACTTGGCTATTCTGAGTAAAGGTTTGCCAATTTTGTTGATCTTTGCAAAGATCCAATTTTTGGTTTTATTGATTTTCTCTATTGTTTTCCTATTTTCTGTTTCATTTATCTCCATTCTAATCTTTATTATTTCCTGTTTTCTACTGGTGTTGGGTTTAGTTTGCTCTTATTTTTCTAGTTCCTTAAGGTATAAAGTTAGGTTATTGATTCAAGATTGTTCTTCTTTAACTTATGTGTTTACAGCTATAAATTTTCCTCTTAGCACTGCTTCTGCTGGATCCTATAAATTTGGGCATGTTGTGTTTTCATTTTTATTCATTCAAGATACTTTTTAACTTCCCTTGTGGATTTCTTCTTTGACCCATTGGTTAAGAGTGTGTTGTTTAATTTCTATGTGCTTGTTAATTTTCCACTTTTCCCTCTGATCTTGATTTCTAACTTTATTCCATTGTGTCCAGAGAACATACTTTGTGTGATTTCAATCTTCTTAAATTTGAGACTTAGGACCAAATATATGTTCTATACTGGAGAATATTCCATGTGCTTTTTAGAAGAATGCTTATTGTGCTTTTGTTGGGTAGAACGTTTTGTTCATGTGTAGTGTGTGCGATTGGTTTTTAGGGCTTTTCAAGTCCTCTATTTCCTTGATGATCTTCTGTAGTTTTTCTATCTATTACTGAAAGTGAGGTATTGAAGTCACCAACTATTATTACTGACAATGTAACCATATTAACCCTTTACTTTTAAAATTCTTTTTGGACACTGGAAGGATCTGGAACCACCAACCACTCCCACATCAGACCCTATGTATGCGCCGACTGTCTGTTGCTCAGCAGCTGTGATGGTTGTTCCAGTTCTTTATTAGGCAAAGAACAGTTTTTTTGTTTGTGTTTGTGTTTTTTTTAGCATTTCCTTTGAGGAAGGTGGCTCAGATTGCTAAGCCAGCCAGGCCCTGTAGGATGGGCTGGGCCTAGGGTCACTTGCTCTTATTCAGCAACTCAGAAATATTCTCCTTGACCATCGGATCCAATGTTGAAACATCCCAGTTGGCCAACTGCATTAGTCGATCGTGGGCCTCCTTAAAGAGGCCAGCGCCGATATTCAGCTCCACCCGCATGCGCCACTCGGCTAGCTTGGAGCTGTTGAGGAAGACATTGTAGTTGGCAGCCATGGGCTGTGGATAGACAAAGAGGAAGATGTGGTCAGCCTGGGGACCAGCCCCACCTCGGTCCTCTCCCACAGCCTCAGCCCCCCGTTCCCCCAGCAACATCCGCCTCTGCAAAGAATTAGGCTGCTGACCCCCAAGGCCTGAGCTTTGGGTTACAGACTATGTACTAGATGTAGTTGGGGATGGAGGATGCAGA